CTTCAAAGCCAGCAACATAGAATCTCTCTCTGACCATTTATTAGTAGTCATATCTCTGTCTGATCACAGCCAGGTCATTTTTTAAGCACTCTCAATTAAATCTGGAGCACCTTCCAGGATGCTCTCCCCATCTCAAAGTCTTTAGCCTTAATCACATCTGCATTCTCTTTTGCTATGTAAGGCAACATATACACAGGTTCCAGGAATTAGGATGTGGACATACTTGGGGGGTCATTATTCTGCTTACCACAAATCTCTGTACTATTATATGAGCATACACAGAAGGATCCACATAATCAGATTCTTAACATGGGCTAGGAAATAAGGTGCTGATGTGAATAGAAGTAAAAGCAAATGGGAAGAGGGAAAAGAAAAGAAGAACAAAAAGGAAAGTGGGGGAAGGGAGAAGAGAGGGGAGAAGAAAAAGGGGATAATGAAGGGGAAAGAGGAAGGAGAGTGGCAAAGATGGGGAGGAGAGGGGAAGAGAGAAAAGGAGAAAAAGAAAGCGAGTTACAAGAAAGGTTAAGAAAAGAACAAGAAGGAAGAACAAATTTTTTAAAAGGATAAAAACAGAAGAAAAAGGAAACAAGGAAAAAAAAGAGAAGGAAAAAGACTACCCAAACACACTAAATAATGTGAGGTACAACTGATCAAATTTATGTAATTAGGGCAAATTACATAATTATATGTATACAAAAAGAAACTTCTCAGTGGGGCATGGTGGCTCATGTCTGTAATCCCAACACTTTGGGAGGACTGCTTGAAGCCAGGAGTTCAAGACCAGCCCAGATGAGATAGGGAGACCCTTATCTCTATAAAAAATTTTAGAAGTTGGAGAAGCATGGTGGCATGTGCCTGTAGTTGCCGCTACTCAGGAAGCTAAGGTGGGAGGATCACTCGAGTCCAGGAGGTCAAGGCTGCAGTGAACCATGATCATGGTCACACCACTGTACTCCAGCCTGGGCAACACGGTGAGATCCTGACTCATTAAAAAAATAAGAAAGTTTTTCTTTTTAATCAAATGTCTTACCCTGACTCAGAACTGCCTACTACACTTCCTCCTAGTCCCTCTTCAGTGTATACAGTATATATATGTACCTACCATTAGGTATCATACCCAAGTTTCACTGCCATAAAGGCAGTGAATTTTATGCCTACGATTCTATAAGGGTTGATACGTGTCATTATACATTTGTCCAAACTATAAAGCACAAGACCAAGAGTAAATACTGATATAAACTACAGGACTTTGGGTGATGTCACAATGTAGGTTTAATTCTAACAAACCTATGGCTCTGTGGGCATTTTGACAATGAGGGAGGCTATGCATGGATGCAGGTAGGAGATTTACAAGAAATCTCTATCTTTAACTCAATTTTGGTGTGAACTTAAAAACTGCTCTAAAAAAATGACTATTTTTAAAAGTCTTCTGTGCTACCCCAATTCATCCCTCCCTCCCCATCTCCAACCCCTGATCTTTTTACTGTCTCCACAGCTCTGCCTTTGAGAATGCCATATAGTTGGAATCATAGAGCCTTTCCTTTAGTTAATAATATGCATTTAAGATTCCTCCATGTGGCCTGGTGCGGTGGCTCAAGCCTATAATCAAGCCTTGGGAGGCCGAGGAGGGTGGATCACAAGGTCAAGAGATCGAGACCATCCTGGTCAACATGGTGAAACCCCATCTCTACTAAAAATACAAAAAATTAGCTGGGCATGGTGGCATGTGCCTGTAATCCCAGCTACTCAGGAGGCTGAGGCAGGAGAATTGCCTGAACCCAGAAGGTGGAGGTTGCGGTGAGCTGAGATCATGCCTGGGTAACAGGTACTCCAGCCTGGGTAACAAGAGCGAAACTCCGTCTGCAAAAAAAAAAAAGATTCCTCTATGTCTTTTCATGGCTCGATAGCTCATTTCTTCTTATCACTAAATAATATCCCATTGTCTGGATGTACCACAGTTTATTTATCCATTCACCTATTGCCTAACATCCTGGTTGCTTCCAAGTTTTGGCAGTTATGAATAAAACTGCTAAAAAACATCTGTGTGCAGGTACAAGAATACTTGTAATATACACATATACAGCCTAGACCCCTGTACTGTATTACTGAACATGTACAAGAAATATATTTGGCCTAGCAAATGAGAACTAAGTAGCTGATAAAGTTCATTTACAAGACAAAAAACAATTAAGACTGGCAAACTTTAAAAAATGCAATACTGACATGATGCTTTGGAATCAAAATCTGTAACAATCATATTGTCATAATCAAAGATAAATGTATACAGGGATTGTTATGTGCAAGACACTGTTCTAAGCACTATAATACATTAACTCACGTGATCCTCACAACTGAGTTCAGGTACTATTATCTTTTTTCTTTTAACCCTTTTTTTTTTGAAAAACAGGGCCTCACTCTGTTACCCAGGCTAGCATGCATTAGTACAATCATGGCTCACTGCAACCTCTACCTCCCAGGCTCACACAATCTCCGGCCTCAGCATCTCGAGTAGCTGGGACTACAGGGATGTGCTACCACACCTGAATAAGTTTTTGTTTTGGTTTTTCTCATTTAGTTTTTTGCTTTTTTGGTGAGGGAGTGGTTTGGTAAATCAGGTAGGCTCAGAGACTCCCAATTTTTTTATTTTTTGTAGAGATGGGGGTCTCACTATACGTTGCCCAGGCTGGTCTCAAACTCCTGGGCTCAAGCGATCTTCCTGCCTTGGACTTCCGAAGTGCTGAGATTACAGGTTTGAGCCTCCACACCGGGCCATATTGTCCTTTTCTTTTCTTTTTTTTAAGGAAATAAGAACATTAATGCCCAGAAAGTAAATAAGTTTACCAAGGTCACACAATTGAGAGTAGAAATCAGGATCCAAACCCAGGCAAGCTGGCTTAGAACTCCAGGCTCTTAACGCTATGCTTTACTATCTCTATTTCATTTTTAGTTCATTCATATGTTTTATGTATTCACAGGAATAAAACAATATTCTATGCACATGTCACCGATAGATCTTTCTGTTAAATTTGTACGTTGTGCTATGTAAAAGCATTCACTACATCTTTGCAATATACTACTTTCTTCTAAAAATGTACATTTGAGGACTGGGAGCAATGTCTCACTATAATCCGTCAAGGCAGGAGGATCACTTGAGCCCAATAGTTTGAGAACAGTCTGGGCAACATAGGGAGACCCATCTCTACAAAAAAAAAATTTTTTTTTAATTAGCCAGGCATGGGAGTGTGCACCAGTAGTCCCAGATACTCAATCTGGGGCAATCGTTTCAGCCCAGGAGGTTGAGACTGCAGTGAGTCATGATCATACCACTAAACTCCAGCCTAGGTGGCAGATCAAGAAAAAAAGAAAATGAACTTTGAAACTTTCTAGTAATCACAGAAACTACTGCAAAACTGTCACTTTCTGGGTTTTTCCAAATTATCAAAGACCGGTAAAAAAAAATTTTTTTTAATTAGCCAGGCATGGGAGTGTGCACCAGTAGTCCCAGATACTCAATCTGGGGCAATCGTTTCAGCCCAGGAGGTTGAGACTGCAGTGAGTCATGATCATACCACTAAACTCCAGCCTAGGTGGCAGATCAAGAAAAAAAGAAAATGAACTTTGAAACTTTCTAGTAATCACAGAAACTACTGCAAAACTGTCACTTTCTGGGTTTTTCCAAATTATCAAAGACCGGTAAAAAAAAATTTTTTTAAGAGACATCTCAGCCGGGCACGGGGTGGCTCACACCTGTAATCCCCAGCACTATGGGAGGTCTAGGAGGACAGATCTCCTGAGGTTAGGAGTTCGAAACCAGCCTGGCCAACATGGTGAAACCCCATCTCTACTAAAACACAAAAATCAGCCAGGCATAGTGATAGGTGCCTGTAATCCCAACTGCTTGGGAGGCTGAGGCAGGAGAATCACTTGAACCCGGGAGGCAAACGTCACCATGAGCAGAGATCACGCCACTGCACTCCAGCCTGGGCGTCAAGAGTGAGACTCCGTCTCAAAAACAAAAAAAGAAAAGAACACTAGAGATAGGGTCTCGCTCTGTCACTCAGGCTGCAATGCAGTGATGCCATCACAGCTCACTACAGCCTCGAACTCCTGAGCTTAAGCATTCCTACTGATCACTTAGTCTCTGAGCCTACTCTGATCCTACTGATAGGACTTGGTAGGAAGAGGCAAAAGTCAGTGATCAACCCATGTACAGAAAACAAATCCTATTACTCACATTAATCAAAATATAGACAGATAATCAGTGCCAATCAGATGTTTGAGAAAAAGCAACAGAAGGAAACAGGAGCAAAAAAACACAGAACAATTGACCAACAGTAAATAAATTAATGAAATAGATCATTTTTTTCTAATTATCATCTTTGTAGTTCAAAATATTTTATATCTATAAAATAAGAAGGGAAAGTCTGCTGCACCTAGGACCTTGTGTTTACTAACTTAAAAGAATAAAAACTAGAGACGGGGTGAACAGGGGGCAGTGTGAGACACTAATAAATCCCTAAATTTATCCACAGTACACAACTTTAAAAAGAGCTAGATAATAAATACAATAAATATATTATCTACCCTGGAAAGGGGGTGGCGGAAATAGTGATTTTGCTTTTCACTTTACATCATCTTCAAGCTGTTTTAACTATGTACATGTATTAATTCTAATAATAATGTTTTAAGAATCAACCATTAAAAAAATGGCACGGGGCAACACCACCCCAAGCCAAGTGCTATTTCAACTCTCTGGTGATACTAATAATAATTTACAGAAGATAGCAAATTTCAAAATCAGAGGTCAAGAAGGGTCCCTGCCACTCGTTTTCCTCAAAAGGCAGATAACACATTTTAGAGCCTTTTTGAAAACTTGCATATGGCTATAAAAATCCGGGACGCAAAGCAAAGCCTAAAGAATTCGCCGGAAAAAAGCTGGTTCCCACCCCCAACTCAAGGTCTAGGGCAAACGAACCGGCAGTAAGAGGGTGGAATAATACCTGAACGTAGGGATGCCGCGGCAGCCCGAGGACCTGACAGTCACAGAGGCCAAGGCCACAGAGAGAGACACCGCGGCTAAAGCCTTTCCCAAGACGCGTCCGGCCATCGGCGCCCCGAGGGCGGCTTCGAGAAGCTAGGTCGCTCTTAGCTGGGGCCTCCGCCTTCTCCCCACCCCAAAGCTCCGAGTCCCGGCCCCGGGTATCTGGTGGGCATTAGGACCGGGCTGCCGTTGGGTTCCCGAACGGGAGTAGCTTTGTCTACAAATTACAGACCAAGAGCTCTCCCGCGGTAAGAGTCCCCCGCTTTCCCTAGTGGCTCGAAAAAAATCCAGAGCAGCACGTGATGCCGACGCCCCCAGCGCCAGCTGCAGGGGAAACAGCGACCGGCGGTCTCGCAGCTTTCTCGCTGCGTAATGGCGCTTTACGGCCGCGCCGCAAAGTAAAGGTCGTAGCGCCTTTCTTCTCCGACTTCCCAGTCTGCGCAAGCGTAATTGGGGCGGAAGGGAACCACCCAGAAAGTGGAACACAGAAGGGGTTGGAAGGGGCGTAAACGGGAAAGCAAAGGGGTTTGAGATAGACTTGTTGATCTGGGTTGGGTTTTTTGTTTTTTTGTTTTTTATTTCGTTTTGTTTTTTAAGACAGAGTCTGGTTCTGTCGCCCAGGCTGGAGTACAGGGGCACGATCTCAGCTCACTTCAGCCTCAACTTCCTGGGCGTAAGCGGTTCTCCTGTCTCAGCCCCCCTAAGTAGCTGGGACTACAGGCACACCCCACTATACCTGGCTAATTTTTGTATGTTTTGTAGAGACGGGTTTTTGCCATGTTGCCCAGATTGGTCTCCAGCTCTCGAGCTCAAACAGTCCAACCGCCTGGGTATCCCAAAGTGCTGAGATTACAGGCGGGAGCCTCGGCGCCTGAACCTGCTCTGGTTTTTTTAGGCAGTAAGTTGTTGCGGAACCACGCGTCTTAGCCATATTTTGCATAATACTTGGCTAAGAGAATGAAACTGCCTTTGCAAAATTATGACTGATTTGAGAGACTGAGGCGGGATCACTTGAGGTCAGGAGTTCGAGACCAGCCTCGCCAACGTGGTGAAACCCCGTCTCTACTAAAACGACAAAAATTAGCTGGACAAGGTGGCGCGCGCTTATAATCCCAGCTGTTTGGGAGGCTGAGGCAGGAGAGTCACTTGAACCCAGGAGGCGAAGGTTGCAGTGAGCCGAGATCGCACCACTGCACTCCAGTCTGGGCAACAATAGCGAAACTCCGTCTCAAAAAAAACAACTCTGGTTTCCCGCAGAGTCGGCTCTGTGTGAATTACTCTTTCTCTATTGCAATTCCCGAGTCTTGAATCAGCCCAGTCTAGGTAGCTGGCGAGGTAAACTCCTTGTGCGGTTACAGGAAGAGATACCCCAAAGACTCTGCCCATGTATCTTGAAGCGTTTCTTGGTTTTTTGTTTTTGTTTTTGTCTTATTAACCAAGTTGTCTGCTGCAATTGCTGGATTTCATTCACAAGGCTTTGCCAGGACCAGGTGTGGCCCTTGGAAATTTGTGGACGAGAAAAACTATGAAAATAGGAGGAGGAGCAGAGGGCAACACCTTTAATACTGGATAATAAACTCGAGAGGCAAAAATTAGCCCCACTGACAAACTGAAAGTTGGAAACCAAATTGTCCAATGCAGCTTGTAATCAGGCTTATCTCATTTATATGTATTAGCTTATTGATGGGGCAGATATTTGACTTTTACTTACATGATCCACTGTTTCTGTGGTGTGGTTCCGATCCACTGACATTATGAAACTTTGACCATCTTAAAAGCCAGATTAATCCAATTTTAACAACCATTGTTCTGAAGACTGCCGAACTCCTGACAGGTATTGACTGTTCAGACCTTTACACTGTCAACTTAGTTGTGCCTCAGAGGCTGAGGCATTTACTTTAGCCAAAATGAGGACAGCTGCCCAGAAGACCCAGACCCAAGTAACGAATGTGAGCTCCTGTCCACCTTTGTTACAATCAGGTTTTTAAAGGCAAAAAGGGGACAGGGAATTGACTGATATAAAGTTGTAAAGAATTACTGGTTTGTAGAAATAGCACTGATTAGTGATTGGCTATACATTAAGCTACAGAGTGTGAGTTACAGTGTCCAGTGTGCCATTATTAGGTTAACTTGTAGCTATTTGTGGCTATAGCAAGCCGTTTAAAGAGATGAATACATAAAGTGGAGAGTAGGATGCAATTGCTGTCTCTCTCTCTCTCTCTCTCCTCTCTCCTTTTTTTTTTTTTTTATTTTTATTTTGAGAAGGGGTCTCACTGTCACCAGGCTGGAGTGCAGTGGTGTGATTCGGCTCACTGCAACCTCCGACCCCCTGGTTCAAGTGATTCTCCTGCCTCAGCCTCTCAAGTAGCTGAGATTACAGGCATGCACCACCACACCCAGGTAATTTTTGTATTTTTAGTAGAGACTGAATTTCACTACATTGGCCAGGCTAGTCTCAAACTCCTGACCTCAAGTAATCCACCCGCCTCGACCTCCCAGAAGTAGCTGAGATTACAGGCATGCACCACCACACCCAGGTAATTTTTGTATTTTTAGTAGAGACTGAATTTCACTACATTGGCCAGGCTAGTCTCAAACTCCTGACCTCAAGTAATCCACCCGCCTCGACCTCCCAGAGTTCTGGGATTACAGGTGTGAGTCACCGCACCCAGCCTGATATCTCATTTTAATGTCTCTCTGGGCCTAATAATTTAAAAGGACTGAACTTCCTCATATAAAAGTTCTTTTCTCAGCACTAAGAGACCTGATCATACTCTAGCATAACTTCCAGTAACTTAAGGCCTTGTCCCTAGGCTGACCCCAGACCATGTTAAAATGCTTCCCTGAAATCAAAACTTAAAGACTAAATAATTTACTGTTTGTTCCAGCCAAAACTTGGTGATAGACAGATAGGTCCCTGAACCCCTTCTTAGAGCAGTTACTTTAGAAAGCTTGCTTTCTCTTCCCGTCAGGATATAAGTCTACCACCCAACACAGTTTCCTCAAAGACTTGGGTGCCATCTCTTTGAAATGCAAATATTCAGGGAGGTAACTCACCCTAGCTCCTAGTCCCTGTAGGAGGCGGGTATCTTGCTTTAGCTTGCCCACCGTTGCCTCCAATCATTTAGATAGAAGTTTGTTTCTCCTCTGGATAAGAGCCAGTTAGCAAACCAAGCCTAGTCAGAGCAATCAACAACCCTCCCATCCCCACCCTCAGCCAAAACTTAAGATCCTTCTGTACCTTTCACTTAACATACCTCAGCCTTTTGTTTCAGGGAAGTATGGAGTTCATATTACACTCTCTTCCCTATTGGACTAGCATTACTGAATAAAGTCTGTCTTTACTGCTTTAACTAGTGTCCAGCTTTGTTTATTTTGACCGCTCTCTCAGGTTGAGAAGTACTATTACTGAAATGTGTATTTTAAAGATAAGTATCTGTACTTGGCTGATCAGATAAACTTTGCTCTCAATGTTGTCCATCACTGCTTAAACCGGAAATGTATTAGACCGGCTGTGTTCATCAAGTTCATCTTGTCCAAAGTCTGCTGACAAATTAGTCACTAGCGAGGACAAGAGAAAAGCAGTGAGTCACAAAGCCACCAATCAAAGAAAGGGAGCAACAGAAAGTAGTTCTCACAGGAAGCTCCTCAGACCCTAGTCTTGTAACTCTCCATTCCTTAAGGGGAGTAAACTTAGTTTAATGGACCACACAACTATGCAAACAAAACCAGTTCCGTGGCAGTGAAACCAAACCGCAATTGGCTGGAACAGCCTGATCTCCTGGGTTCCTCCCCTCAGGGACACAGTGTAGTGACTACATGTTCTGCACACTGCTCTTGGGCAGAAACAAAACATCAAATTACCCACATCCTAAATTAAACAGATGTCATCTGAATTTAAGTAAGGAGAAGTAGGGGCTTTTTCTTTTTTTTTTTAATTTATAAAGCATATACTAACTTCAAGGGTGTCTTACAGTAGTTGGCGAGACAGACCAAAGACACTGAGAAATGAGTATTTTTAAATAGGAAAGTGACTTATGTGATTATTGGAATTGATGGGTATGCTAAAAGCAAGAGTAATTCAGGATCCCAACTATTTCCCTGATATAGTGTGGATATTTGTCCCCCCAACTCTGATGTTGAAATGTAATCTCCAGTGTTGGAGGTGGGGCTGGTGGGAGATGTTGGGATCTTGAGGGTGGATCACTCATGGCTTGGTTCTGTCCTTGTGACAGTGAGTGAGTTCACTCAAAATCTTGTTGTTTAAAGATGTGTGACTTCGGCCAGGTGCGGTGGCTCATGCCTGTAATCCAGCACTTTGGGAGGCTGAGGTGGGTGGATCACATGAAGTCAGGAGTTCGAGACCAGCCTGACAAATATGCTGAAATCCCATATCTACTAAAAATGCAAAAAGAAAATTAGCCAGGCGTGGTGGTGGGTGCCTATAATCCCAGCTACTTGGGAGGCTGAGGCAGGAGAATCGGTCAAACCTGAGAGGCGGAAGTTGCAGTGAGCCAAGATCATGCCACTGCGCTCCAGCCTGGGCAACAGAGCAAGACTTCATCTCAAAAAAAAAAAAAGGTATGACACCTCCCCACCTCTTTCTTGCTCCCACTCTCAAGAATGTGTCAGCTCTGGCTTTGCCTTCCACCATGATTATAAGCTTTCTCAGGCCTCACCAACAGCCAAGCAGATGTCCAGCACCATGCTTCCTGTACAGCCTGCAGAACTGTGAGCCAATTACATCTTTTCTTTATAAATTACCCTTCTCAAGTATTTCTTTTTGGCAATGCAAGAATGGCCAAACACATTCTCTTTCGTTTTTTTTTTTTCCCCTCGTTCATTTAGTTATTGTAAACAAACATTCTCTGAACAGGAATTTGGAGGAAAGAGACTTTATCCCAGTGAACAGTTTGCAAATCAGGGAAACACAGCCTTTGGTGTAAAACAAAAGTGTGCTCCAGAGGACAGAGGGAGGGTTCGGATTTTATAACAGAAGTTGCTACCCAGATTATTAATTAGGTCTGTTTACACAAATGAGGGATTCTAGCTTAGTTCTGATTGGCTGACACAGCTGAGCTCTAATTGGTCAGTTTGGGTGATCTCTGCAAATCCCCAAGTTCAATAGAGGTGTGAGTTTTCAATGAACTCAGAGTATGTGTGTGACCTCTAGTAAGCAAATGACCACTTAGCTCTGTTTAAAATTTGTTAGCCATATGGGATCCATCTTAAAGGATTGCCTCTTTCAGGTTTGCATTTATTCACATTGCATCATAATGACAAATAATACTATTTACCAAGCACACCACCCCAGGTGCTGGGAATACAGTTGTGAACAAGATGAACAAAGTCCTACTCTCATGAAGCTTACTTTATAGGAGAGGGAAATAAACATTAATAAGTAAACCAACTAGGAATTCCAGATTAGGAAAAGTGC